TTGGTTTTATTTCGTATTTGAAATTAAACTTTGCAAGAAAGACAAATATGATGATGAAGCAATAAATGATAACGAATAGGACAAAAAGTTTAAGATAAAGATGAAGATGAAAACAATGACAAATACATAAGAATTAGGGTAAGAACATTTAGTGAAAATTTTCCATAGGAATCGAAATAAATTCATTAATAAGAAATCTAGTTATCGAAAGTTATCGCACTTATTCAAATTGAAAAATTTTTATTGAGTTGTCGAAATTTATAGACACAGAACATTAGTTGTCGAAATTTAAGATGCTTAGTTATAACCGATTATGTGATTATCGATATTTGTTAAGTTAATTAAATTTATGAAGCTATCGATATTTATTGAATTATAATTATTTATAGAGTTAACGAAATTTATTAAGTGATTGTAATGCATCGAGCTATTTGATTTTATCGAGCTATCGATACTTACTGATTTACTGAAATTTGTCGATTTATCGATTCGAAAGTTTTGGAATTTTCAAAATATATCGAGATTTTAAGATTATATAAGTTTATCAAGTTATCACTGCTTATCAAATTTTATGGTGTTACCAGAATTTGAAGCTATCAAAATTAACCGAGCGAGCGAAATTTATAGATGTATCCAAAATTTTTTAGAGTTATCGATTTATACCGAGTTATATTCATTTGTGAGTTATCGAAATTTATCGAGCCCTCTAAACGCAGTTTTGGAAATGAGTCAAGTTATCGAATTTTGTTGAGTTATCGAAATTTATCGACAAACTGGATTGTATTGGGTCAATTCTAAATCCTGCCAAAGTCCTGAAAAAACCTTCAAATATATAAAAAATTTTAGTCACGTTTTGGTTCCAAAGCAGGATGTTTACCGGTTAGTAATTTGGTACCTTATACATAAGTTAAATAACGAACTAATTTAGAAAACTCCTCCAAGGGTCTGATAACTATAAAAACGGTCGAATTTCTACAGTAACTGGCACTCCTAGTACAGATAAAATTGGTACAGAATTTAAACAGCATGTCAATAAAGTAAGCCGTTCGGTTAAACCTTTCATAAAAACCAGAAAGAGTCACAACCCCGGTAGAAAAACAATTGACTGGGACTAAAAGCAATCCCTATTTTACATCTTAACCTTTATAACTGAGTTCACAAAAGAGCTTGGAGGCAAGGCATGGGGCTGGTTCAAAGGATACAAGTTACTCCAAGGTAATACTTACAACAGTATCTCAACAATAAATAAGACTGTTATAGGTTTTTAGGAAATGGTCGTAACACCGCCCACTTATGACTACAAAGGTGACTCTCGGTAACCGCTTTATCGATTTCTTGGTTCAACTCAGAATATTATCGCAAACGTTTGAAAGCGGGGAAAATAACCCTGCTTATTATGGCAAAGGTAATTTGTAAAAAGGTGAAACGAAGATACCTGCGCCAGTTATATAAAGTTCGGTTTCGCCGGAACTTATACTTATTTACTTGTGTTAAAATATTTTAGGTTTGAAGCCAAAAGGATTTTTAATTTTGCAAATGTAAGTATAAATATATAATTTGATTACGGGATATTTGAATTTGGGAAGTCCGCAAAGCTAAACATTACCATTTACTCTATATAAATATATTGATAAGTATGTGTATATACAAAATGTATACCTTTATACTATGTAAGTGAGTGTATGGGCAACACCTTAATTTACGTTCTTAGCTTTAATTACCATGTTAAACTATAATTACACTAATTCCCAAATATACCATGTTAAGCCCAACTACTTAAAGCTGCGTTTTTACATTACATTTTTACATAAACGCATACCTACTTTATACATATGTATCTCGTACACATCGTCGTCATCAATGCAAAAGGCCCTAAATGACAAAATTGAAATTTTAAAGCAGAAGCAAAACACTTTTAAATATAAAGAAAGTATGTTAATAGTACTTCTTGTACATTTCAGAATAATATTTGCCATAACTGTCTATCGAGGAATTCACTTTATACGGTATTTTATTTTTTTTCTGAATATGCAGGCTGGCTTTTGACCAAATAGATCATGTGCTGACCTAAACCAGCAACGGCAGAAACATATATCACATATCTATCTAGGCTCTCTTTGGTCGTCCCTAATAAAAAAATACCCTGCCTAATTAAAAAGTGATCGATTGAGTTGTGCTTACTACTCCTAAACTCCAAGCCATAATAGCATTAACCTAAAAAGCTGGCTTTATGATCAACCCAAGAAAGAGAAGGAGGCGGATCTATCTATTGATGAACGAAAACAACAAAGTATCTCCTACTAACACACAAGCAGTCTTGTATTGGCACTCTTGGATATTTGAAGTAGTGAAATACTATGTTTATTTAGGATCTAGCAGCACTGCTACTGATAATGTCTGCCTTGATATCAAACATAGAATAATTTCTGTCAGCAGGTGTTTGCGTGAGTGACGGATATCGAAAATATAGAACTACATGCATATGTACGCTGACATGGACATGCGGTACATAGGTATGAATGAAGTTTCTCTGGAAACGACCGGTCTAAACTTGGTATGAACAACTGGTGAAACTTTGTAAGAGAGAGAGGAAAGTCTCAAAGTGTTTTGGTCTCGAGCTAAACCAGTAAACGATTCTAGTTCCAGATAAGAGGAAGAAAAGGACATACCACTTTCAATTTCTTAAAATGTAACACACTTAGGAGTTCAACGTAAAAAAAAACGGCCGTATATGCAAAGCCAATAAAATATTTGCAAAGCGCAATAAGATCGGGAGATCATCAGGGTTATTCAAACGAACGAAACGAACAACGTCTAAAATCGTACACCAACTGTTATCTGCGAGAATACCGCGCATTACCTGGCCCTAGCTTAATTTGTTAGGGATCTCAGAGCAACTACTGGAATACAAAAAAAAACAACAATTTACAAAAAAGAAAATAAGGGCCTTTTGCATTAATGGCGCCAATACGGACTTAAAATAAAAGAAAGCATTGATGGTTTTAGTCCAAGTGATCTATTAGGTAAACTTAAAATAATTTTATTGAAAAAACGAATAAAGTTATTTAGGGCCAAATTCCCAGTCTTCTTCTTTCTTGTGAGATTAATCTTTTTTTTTTGTGGAACGAGTTTCAAATTTGTTTATGTAGAAAAATATTGGTTTTATGAATTTCCATAGTTAATTATGTGACTGTGAATATAAATTCATAGTTAATCTCTTGTTTATGGTTAAGTTAACAATGGTTTAACTAAGCACTTTGAATTCGGCCCCAAGGGTTTGTTTTCCTACAAGTTTTGTTAGCTGAGTGAAAAAAGTCACATATGACTGGAATATCCATATCAATCAAGTAAGAACTATACCTCGGCTGTGCCTAACTGTTATCTAATAACATTAACGATGTTCGATAAATATTAAAGAAGAAATTAGGGTTAAATTTCTCCAATTTAATATAGGTAATATAACACCGTGCGACAAAAACAAAAAAAAGTCAAAACACACGAAAGAAACGATATACTCATGAAACTATGGGACAAATATAGTAAAACTGCGTGTTTAGTTTTTCACTCTGACGTCAGGATTTTTTTCAAAGGACTTTGAAATTTTGAAGATATGATTAATTAAAAAAAAATATTTTTAAAAAATCAGTGCAATGTAGAATAACAATTTGGGTACCATATGAGAGAGAAAATTCTGAAGAATTTAAAAACAATAAAGTTTTTTAGTTTACAGGGGCGAATAGTTATTGAAAATGGGGTTTTAATAAATTTTATCTTTTAAAGTTAATAAAGTTTGCTGGACGAACTTCGATGATGAGATCGTGCGTATATTACGTATATTAGTCCTCAAACAATAATTAAAAAAAAATACTGCAAATTCGTCCTCATGCACCAAAAAATTTATTCTGTTATAATTCTACAGATTTTTTTCTTTTATATATTACCCTTATTTTTATATTGAATTGTACTGAATTTTTTAACGAACTTTTTGAAATAAACATATTTTTAAAATTTCAACGTCCTTTAACAAACTCTGACGTCAGAAAGAAAAACTAAGTACGAAGTTATACTATAATTTACCCATAGATTCGCGAATCTATTCATCTTTTTATGTAAAATTTACTGTCGCACGGTGTAATACGCCATCAACAAAGTTAAACGCTGAATTTATTATATTACGAGCATTTTTTACTTTTAGTCTCTTGTGAGACAATTTTTTAACTAAATTAGTACCTCGAGACTTTCCTTAAATGAAAATTTTCAATATTTCTTATATATCGAAACCCAAATCGTACAATTTCGGCACAAAATTTATTTGAGAAAATATTAAAAAAAAAACTGGGTAGGCCTTCTTAAGTGAAGCCATTATAAAAGACCTACCCAAGAAGGACTGAAAAAGTGTTTGCTTGCATGGCCTCTAGAAGGTCTTTTTCTATTTACTATCCTTCAAAAGGCCTTCTAAAATCCGTCCAATAAAAGTCCTTCTATGGCTGGCCTTCAATTTGTCCCACTCCATATAAAAAAGAAAAGAGAAAGGAATGTAAAGTAGAAGGCCTATTGACTGTCAAGAAGGCCCTTTAGCTGCAGAAATTATCTACTAGGTAGATTTTTGAATAATGGAAGTCTATGTAAATAGTTAAACGTTTTTAACAAGCGGACCAATGGCTTGATCTTTAGCCTAAAAACTTCATATACGAAAAGTTTTGTCTATAAAGAACTGGCAATGACCTTACTTTGTTTTTTTTTTTACTTCAAAGGCATGTAATACGAACTCACAAAGTGACGACCAAGGCTAAGGACAACCCTAATATTTCACAAGCTTCTAACAATACATACATATGTACTTTGAATTCAAATGCGTTTTTTAAACAAATCTTTGGACTAGAACTTATCAATGCGGTCTATAAAAGAGGTAAATACATACATACATATGTTAATCTATATTTGTACATATGTACAATTTATACAAATGGTGAAAAATGATTTCGTTTTTGCAAACTTACCCGATCTTTGCGACTTTGTGCATCGGATATATCACTATCCTGCGATCGCTGTTGGTGTACTAGCTGAATTTTTCCTTGAGATATTGTTATATAATTCGTTGGTGGCGAAAAGGCCTGTATGTCGTCTTTTTCATCATCTTCTTCTTTTATGTCAAGCGTTCTGTAACGAAGGGAAGAATAATATGAAATAATTAATTTTAATATATGATTAAGAAATTACATACATATGTGCATACATACATATATATATACCATGTAAAACATATTGTACGCACATATTTACGAAATAATTTTAAATTTTTAATGTATACGAAATTAATTTTTTTTCGAGTTCACATTTGAGTAAATCGTGTATTAAGCTTTCATCTTTACGAAAACATATAAGTGGTTGCGTCTTTATCTTAAGTACTAACTGTCATAAATGAGCTAGAGTTTATACACCTAATCAAATAATAGATTTCAAGTATTCGATTATAAAGCCAAAGCTTATTTGCTATACTTCTATGTTACTAAATAGTAAAGCGATTATCTAAGCAAACAAATGTTTACTTGACACCCTTTTTTGAATTGCTATACAACAATTATACAACGTCAATTTACAAACTTTTACATACAACCTGATAAACTTTAGCTGCACATAAGCCGATAATCTGGAATCTACATAAAGTGAGTGCATTGAGAACATTTGCAGCTGTTCTTAGGCAGCCAGGGCTGCGTGGATTAACAAATTATCGATTATATCTTGTTTTCAAAACGAAAAGAAGGTAAATGGGTTAATTGGGTGTAGTCAAGTATGTAAGAATGATAAAAGCTGAGTGGTTGAGAAGGAATTGACAGCTGCGTGAAAAAATTTCTATAATACCAATGTAATTAAAGCGACCTAAAACTTGAAGATTGTAAAATTGTGCTAAAATTTAAACTAGCGTAAAAAGGGGTCTAGAGATTTGCGTTAAAAAAGTAATAGTTAGTAAAGTAAAAACAAAAAAAAAAAAATATAAAGATTTATCAATATATATATATATTTTTAATATATTCTACATAATAAAATTCAATATGTATTTGTAAAACTGAAAACACGTTTTTTCTCAAAATCTTATCTTAAAATATATTAAAATTTAGGATGACAAACAATTTTTTATCATTAACAAAATTCTATGTGGAAACAAATTTAAACTATCTGCTCTGTCGTTGAATTCGATGTTCTCGGTATCCGATTAGAAATCGAGATTTTTTTTCGTTATATGTCGCACAATCCGATCTTATCGATTTTTACGTTTGAAACAGAAATATGCCAGTTTTAGTTGGTATACGCCTCATTGAAGATTTATTTCTTATTCAACCTTTACCACAAAGATCTTGAGACTTCACAATTCTCTCATTTGGTTCACAAGTCATATGCTACGGGAGTGGTATACTAGTCAGCTTTTCTCAGATGATTAGATTGAAGAAAGAAGTCCATCTCACTGATCTACATTTCCGTCTCGTTCATAGACACCTGATGAGCTATTTTGCCGGGAACCCAGCAAATAGTGTCGTTAATAGGGATGAAATGATACCATATAGGTATCGATACTTTTACTTGGAAGTAGTATCGAAAAAAAGTATCGATTCCTGAAAGATATCGATATCTACTCGAATCGGTACTCATTGTGTATTCCGTATTAAGTTAAATTTATTTTTTTAATTAAGAAGTTAATCATCCTCTGGGAATTCTAAACTCCGAATAATAAAATTTAATAATGTAGGAACTGAAAATAAATAAAACTCCGTTACATAGCAGAACTATATGCTTAATGATGAATGGTGTTTACATAGATACAAACACATTGGAAAAGAGTACAAGTTGATCTTATTTAAGAAAATATTTATTAATAAAATATTTCAGCGAAAAAAGTCTTCTTTTGTTGCACGTCCCAAGAAGTATACAGATTTTTTTCCGGATCCATCTCTGGATCAAAAAAAAACCTTACTTACTTTAAGGTCGAAAATTCTACCGAATAAGTAAAAAATTTTCCCGAATGAGCAATTTTTCTTTGGAATGTGTAAAAACGTACACGAAAATATGGCACCGTGGATGTAATCTATCATTTCGAAGAAATGTTGGGCATGAAAAGAGGATAAAACTTCTTTAATGCTATTTCGTTCCCATTTTTCTTTATTTTGATTGCTGTTTTCTTTCAATTAAGAGAAGTTTTTTTTTGAGTGTGGTTATTGTTGCTCCTGCTTTCGAAAACAATCGTTTGCAAGGAACAGAACAACAAAGGAAAGGTTCGACTTCGGAGAGGATACTGGGCGGGATAAAAGAGAAAGAAACGTATTTTTTACTTTGAAAAACATTTTTTTTTAGGTCGCGTTGGTCGGTTCTTTATAAAAGCGCTGATGCTTTCAATTTTTTTATTTTCGTGACATGTTATAGTGCAGCTAAAAATGTTGTTCTTACATGTAATTACTCAGGTATTATTGGGGAATATTCTATTAATTACATACTTGTCTTGGACAGTTAAAATGGGCCTTGTGCCCGAAAATATGCTTTGTAAAAGAGACTGCTATATTAAAATGTTAATACTGAACTATTTAACTAAAAGGAAAATTTAAAATGGCGGATCCAAAATGGCGATCAATTTGAACAAAAAAGGCTGGATTTGTTCGAAACTCGGAGCTCGGGAATTTTTGGGGTCGCTGATTACGATTCTGAAGTCAATTTTAAAATTCAAAATGGCGGATCCAATTTTGCTATCAAATTCTTAAAAAATTTCTAAAGTTAAACGTTGATCCTGAACGTTGTAAACATTGTCGTGGGTTGAACTTGTTACCAGCTGGTTTCTGTGTATCTGATGTCAGCAGATTTTCAAAATTCAAAATGGCGGATCCAAATCCAATCATTTTTTTAACTGATAGCCATATTGGATCCGCCATTTTGAATTTTGAAAACTGACATCACATTCGTAATCACCGACCTCAGGCACCCCCTGGTAACGAGTCTTACCCAATGATAATGCTTAAAAAGTTTTAAAGTTTTAATTTGAGTAATTTTTAAGAAATTGATCACCATATTGAATCCGCCGTTTTGATAAAAAAAAAAATAATAATAATTTAGATTTGTAGTCAGCGACCCCAAAAACTATCGAGTATCGAGTTTCGAATAAATCCACTATTTTTTTTAAATTGATCACTATATTGGTACCGCTTTTTGAGTTTTGAAAAGCTGACATCAGATGCGCAATCCACACCACCAGGAACCCCTGGTAACGCGTGTGGCCACTAGGGTGATCGACTCGGGTTTTTTTCAAACCGGTTTCCGCCGGTTTTTTGCATGTCCATAGGCGGTTTTACTTAAGTCTTGATTGTAAGTCGGGTTTTTCATTTTCATGTCTGCGAAGACACGACCGCAATTTGAAAAAAACTTGTTTGGATGTTGCTGGAACCACAAATTGCACCATGCACCTCCCGAGTGGCAGAGTAGGCACATCTAGGCATTCGGCTACGGAGGCAAGAGCACTAGTATAAGCCGAAAAGATTTAGAAAAAATACAATTAACTATTAAAAAAAAGTTAAAATAAGACCAAATGTAAATTTTTCACCGATTCCTATTTATTTTACTTTTGATCTAAACATACTTTTGAGCTTTGCTCTTTTTTAAATAAAATCAATCTTTGTTATTGATAACAGATTTACTGTAATTTTTGGTCATTACTTCATACCAACATTAGAATTTTCTTTGTATGAAAACTATGTAAAATAAAACCAGATTTTTCTTAATTCAAAAATCAGGAACCGATTTTTTCAAATTGCAGTTTTTCGAATCACTCGAAAACCGGATTTTGAAAAAAGGCGAATATTTGAAAACCCTAGTGCATTAAGTGCAAAAAAAAAATAAGGAAATAGAAACTTTGATAAAAAAGAAAAAAAAGCTCGCATATGCCCACTGCCATGCTGCTATTAAAGGACAGTATGTATTATTAACTAAAGTAATTTCCTATGGCTAATATGCACTAATCTTTATTTCCCAATAATTTTTATAGTGGCACCTGGTTTAAAAATTTGTGAATTGCTTGAGATTTGGTGATCGGAAAACAAAGAAAAAAAATTGAGCGTAAAAAAATAAAAGCCCAGTTCAGTAAAACTCTAAGCGTTATTAATTTATTATATAAGATGACATTGTAGCGATTTTTGTATGGATGGTAAGCTACTATTAATCGTATTAAAGTTCCAAGCTTTTCTCAGTACATAAATTTCGACAAATTTATTGTATTTTGGGAATTAGAAAGGTGTCCACCGTTGAAAATAATACATTTATATGGGAAATAAGGTTGCATATGACACTTTTTTAAATAAAGTATATTTATCATTTGATCTCAAATATTAATATGTATTGTCGGCCTGGCTTAAATATAATAATATCTTAAACAATGGCGATACAGAAAATGTGTATTAACTTGATTTCAATGTATTTCCGCGTATTATGAAAGTTAACAACATATTTCATGACAATCGGGACCATATTTAACATTTGCAGCCACATTTTGTTTGGGTGGTGGCATTGCCTGTGGACAAATCTTCAATATAGTATTTTAGATTTATGTTAGGTAAATACATGTGCTAACCAAATTTTATCGCAATCGGATAACTTTTAACCTTTTCCGCCCTGTAGAAGTAGAAACTGTATCCTCAGCTCCAGAATTTGAGAGTCAAATTGTCAAAAAATCTCGATTTTTCAATTTTTGAAAAGCTCTAGCGACGAAACAAAAGGCCATAGAACATTCCACTTAGGCTTACATTAAAACTATAACTCTCGACAAGTATCCCTGCATCTTATCCTGATGGTCGCTTATAGTCATTCTGGTTAATAAATGATAGTCATTCTGGTTAATAACTGATCTCCAATTAGCACTAATATGTGCCATTTTAAAGCCATAACTTTGCACCTGTTTTTTTTAATTCCATATATTTTTGACAGTAAAGCACTGCGAGCTAATTTAATATTCAAACGACTGACAACAGACAGCTGCAGCTAGTGAAATCCATTTTATTAAAAGTTGAATTAAAATTTGATTTTGTTTTTTTTTTTTCTGCGAACGTTCAGGATGTATATATTGGTCTAGCAGCAAATTTACTATTAAACAACATAATTGATTTATCGACGATTTCGTAAAACAATGG